ATTCACTCCATCACTGTCTTGCCAGAAGGGTGCTTTACACTACAGTTTTTAAACTGCAACGTTAACACCCCTCCTTCAGAGTGCAGGCACTGTACTTCCCATCTCCAGGACTCAAGTCCAGCCTGCCGGTTTCCCTGAATCCCTTCATAAATGTTACTTTGCTCACACTCCAACAGCACGTCAAGTATTAAAAACCATTTGTCTCCATTCACTCCTATCAAACACGCTCACGCATGCCCGCTGGAAGTCCAAGCCCCTCGCACACAAAACCTCCTTTACCCCCTCCCTCCAACCTTTCCTAGGCCGACCCCTACCCCGCCTTCCTTCCACTACAGACTGATACACTCTTGAAGTCACTCTGTTTCGCTCCATTCTCTCTACATGTCCGAACCACCTCAACAACCCTTCCTCAGCCCTCTGGACAACAGTTTTGGTAATCCCGCACCTCCTCCTAACTTCCAAACTACGAATTCTCTGCATTATATTCACACCACACATTGCCCTCAGACATGACATCTCCACTGCCTCCAGCCTTCTCCTCGCTGCAACATTCATCACCCATGCTTCACACCCATATAAGAGTGTTGGTAAAACTATACTCTCATACATTCCCCTCTTTGCCTCCAAGGACAAAGTTCTTTGTCTCCACAGACTCCTAAGTGCACCACTCACCCTTTTCCCCTCATCAGATCTATGATTCACCTCATCTTTCATATATATATATATATATATATATATATATATATATATATATATATATATATTATATATATATATTATGTGTGTGTGTGTGTGTGTGTGTGTGAGTGTGTGTGTGGTAAGTTTTTTCAGCTGATGTCATTCTGTTCTTGCTCTGTCTCGGTGTTGGAACACCCTCTTGTATGTTGATGATTCCTTTGGCAGTGGTTTCTCTTGCAGGATCCTGTTTTGCTCTGTTTCTGTCTTGTAAATCAGCTTGACCAGCCAATTTCTTCCCTTTAGGTACCCCTCTATTCTCTGAAAATTTACTATCTCAGTCCTGTCCTCCTTGCCTATGCCTTTGATGATGTTTTCAATCTCCCGTTTTCATTCATGCCATCTTTCATTGTATATCTTCCCCTCACCCATGAATAAACACTGATTTTCCCTCTCCTCCTCCCATTGCCTTTCCCTCTGTGTCTCTGTGTCTCTGTGTCCCATTTGTACAAGGCCATTATTTTATCCTATAACTCTTGGTGGCATGGGCATGCCTCTGCAAGGGACCCATTCCCCTCTCCAAATTTTCCCACTCTCTTACTGCTATCCCTGCTCCCAACTGCTCTCCCCCTAAACTTCTTAGCCCAGCTTGGTGAACTGATAGGGCCTTAGCTTAAGTCATGTCTTCTTACTTTCCCTGTAACTCACTTCAGCATATTTACCTTACATTCTAGGGCCTCCATCCTGGCTTCTGTGGCTTCAGCTTGTGATTCCCATTTCTTCTTCTCTGCCTCCATCCTCTTCTCCATTTTTTGCAGTAAACTCACCTAGTTTGCTCTCCCACTCTTTTTCCATCCTTTTACATTGCTCTTCCATCCATCCTTCCTTACCAGAACCATTTTGCTTTGATCCCCTGAGCCTTTGACTTCCCTTTTGAGCCACCATTTTTTTTGTGTGTGTGAGTAGGTCAGTAGATATCATTTTATTAATTTTGAGTAAAAATAAGGTGAAATTTATTTTCCAATTAATTATATAAAATAAAATTGAAAATACCTCCTTGGAAAAGTTTTAGTATTTAATATTTTATGTAGGTGTAAATTTGTCAGCTTTCTTAAACAATTGAAAATCTTTGGTATAATAACTGGAGAATGTCTCTTCTGGTGGGTTTTAAACTTTTTAGCACTGATGTGTTTTATATATAAAACACATCGTTTGTATTATTACTGCATTACATTGGTCTCAGTTTTCCCATTTCTCAGGTAATTATATTGATGGTCATTCAATAAGCAATCAATGGATCATTTGAATGACTTCATTATATAATACTGGTGGAATTAATATAATCCTGAAGAATTTAATATAATGCTGATGAATTTAATATAATACTGATGGATTTAATACAATGCTAATTAATTTCATGCAGTGCTGATGGATTTAATACAGTGCTGATGGATTTAATACAGTGCTGATGGATTTAATACAGTGCTGATGGATTTAATACAGTGCTGATGGATTTAATACAGTGCTGATGGATTTAATACAATGCTGATGGATTTGATTAGAAAGATGATATCCACCGAGTTTAGTCTGCGTAGGTGTAAATTTGAAATTTTACTGACATTGTTAAAAAAAAAACTGGAATAATTGGATACTGACTCATTTCTGGAGAATGTCTTTTCTGAAAGACTTAAAACTTTCAGTGATAGCTGGCTTCATTAAAAGAGCGCTTAATATTCACATTTGCATTGTATAAATTTTATTGTGACAATTTTAAGCAAAAAATGTTTTCCATGTATTAAAAAAGTAACAGCAGTTCTCATCAGTGTCATCTTATTTGGAAGTATTTTTGTAATGAATTTATGCGCTGTTGGAGCCAAGTTGACAATTTTACTGAAAACAAATATCAGTACACAAATAACCCGCACATAAAAGACAGAAGCTTACGACGACGTTTCGGTCCGACTTGGACCATTGACAAAGTCACACTAACAGAGGAGGAGCAGGACGGCTATATATAGGCAGGAAGAGGTGGAGGTAGTAGTAGTGGTAGTAGTAGTGGTAGTAGTAGTAGTAGTAGTACAAGAATTGTATATAATGTATATAATGTATGTACTACTACTACTACTACTACTACCACTACTACTACCTCCACCTCTTCCTGCCTATATATAGCCGTCCTGCTCCTCCTCTGTTAGTGTGACTTTGTCAATGGTCCAAGTCGGACCGAAACGTCGTCGTAAGCTTCTGTCTTTTATGTGCGGGTTATTTGTGTATCGTTCCAGTCACGGTATTGTGCCTTTTTGTTATTTATTAACAAATATCAGATTGATTAGATAGATTTTAGATTTTGCCACCGAAGTGGCTAGTTTATTGTGCACCCCATATCCATCCTGTGGACGGTAGCGCGAGAGCATATGGATACACAAAAGGCCCAGGAACTAGGCCCCAAAGGGTTAACAGGAATACATATGGATTTATATCTACATATCTATAGTTCACTTATCTGTTACAAGCAAATTTAGGAAATTTGCTTAGTATATCTGGTATCTTATTTTCATTAATAAGATATCTTGACATGTCACATAGGTTATTATACTGTCTGTCTCTGTATTCCTCAATAAGTGGACAATTAAGCACATAGTGTTCAAGAGAGTGACCATATGCCTGATCACATAATTTACATTTAGTTTGATCATCATCTGTGTGTCTCCCAAACTGCCAGAAGTACTTGTAACCAAGCCTAAGCCTGGCCACTACAACATCAGTCAGTCTGTTCACATTGCAAGTTGCTCCATAAACATACTTATCTACGTTCATGTTATCATAGTGGGTTATAGATCTACTCAGGCTTCTAACTGCATTCCTATAACAATCATTTTCATTATTTACTTCTCTCCTAATATTATTCCTAATGCTAGACACAGTTATACCAAAGTTATATTCTACATTCTCCTTCTCGATACTCTTCTTGGGTAACATATCAACTTTATCATGAAGGAGTAATCCAATGTGTGATGGGATCCATAGCAATTGTACATTAATTCCTTTGTCCCTAATTTTTGAGTATCTATACCTGGCTTCCCCAATGAGCATGTTGTTGGAGTCATTATATGAGCCAAGAGCCTTCAATGATGACATAGAATCAGTAATGATGATAGAGTCAAGCTCAGTGTCATAGGTTAGCTTCAGCGCCATTAGGATTGCAAACAATTCAGTTTGCAGTGTAGACGCCCAGTTGTTAATTCTTATGCCTAACTCAACAAATTTATTATCGTTCTTAACTAGGGAGGTGGCAACAAGAGCAGATTGGACCTTCTTATAAAGTTAAATATTTTCTCTCGTAGAATTGTAAAGGCTTTTAAATATATAACCAAGAAATGAAAACTAAGAAATACAGTATAGAAAAGTTGTGCTTTTATAAGTGTAATGAGCCCTTAAATACTGTATTTTTATACGATTTTACACTGAAGCCGGCACACTATCTTTCTCCAAGTCTTTCGTATATAATTAAAGAACAACTTATCCGATTGGCTTGAAATTTTCAACCCTGATGAATTATAACCAGGAAGGAAAGTTCATGGAATACTTGGCAAGTGAAAATGTTTGTGATAACTTCAGAAAGCCTCTTCAGATTGTCTTCAACCTTTCATATTCATGTTTCCTAGTTAGAGGAAGATTGGTGTTGTTATTGAAATTTGGAGTTGCCATTTTGCAAATTTTAATTTCGAAATGGTAAATTATTGCTTAAAATTTAACATAGAAGCAACATCCATAAAATAAATAATACAATCAGGTCCTGCTTATACAGCAAATTAGGTTCCAGATTAGTGCTGTAATGTGAAAATTGATGTGAAACAGGTTTTTTCAATTTCAAATGAATATAAAAATCTTAATAATATGTTTACACTATCATATATTAAGTGAGCAATAGAGCTAGGCCTAAAAATGCAAATACAGTACACATATTACTTACCTTAATATATTTTCGTCCTTAGCTTATAGTTAGTGGTGATTATATTTATTGTAGGAAGTCTGAATAAATGAAGAATGGGAATAATTGAAAACCGCTGCATTAATGAAACATTGTAAAGCAAAGCGCTGTAAAGTGGGACCTGCCTGTATTTTATTTTTCGTGTCATTCAAAAAAAAAATTCAGCATTTTAAAGGTAAGATGTTTCTTTTATGTATAATCATAACTAATTTAATTACTAAATTAGAAATGCTAATGTTTTCCAGAAGGAAAAATATCTAACAAACAGATGGCGGTTATTAAATACACACAGATAATTTAAGTAAAATATCCACAAATACCTTCTCAACCGCAGGTTTTCGGCAACCTAACTATGGGTGTGATGGCATGGACAATACCCTTCCTTGTGGCGTGTTCTACAAGTGGTGCTTCCAATGGTGCCATCTTTACCAACGCTAGGGTGCTGTTTGTTAGCTCGAGGCGCGGCCAGATGCCCCAGATGTTCTCCCATCTCCACATCCACAACCACACTCCTATCCCTGCCCTCTTCTTTGTTGTAAGTTGCTTCTCTTTCAGTGTTGTGATAAGTATTCTGTAGGTTGAGTGTCCAGAGTAACAATGTATCGGAGTAAAGAAGTAAGACTGGGAAACAGTAAAGGACCGTCATGATCAGACGATTAAGTTACAGTTCCAGAGGAAGCATGTTTAACAGCTACAATTAAATCAAAAGATGTTGTAGTAGGATTTAGGGCTCGGACGAACTTAGGACAGGTTACACTCTTCTGCAGAAATCTGTAACCACAACCGATATTAAGCGTCACATGGAGAGTAAGAGTCCCAAGAAGGCAAGTCCTGGCAGAGAAAATCTAGAACAAGAAAGTAGTTGGCCGTCCTTGTCGAGCTGGTAGGGATACTATTGGCAGGAAATGATGGGCAACCATCTTAAATTGATAAATGTGAGCCTTAAGTCACTGCCATATACAGACTCGGTTTCGGCGTCACACATATGGACAGGGACCATCAGTGAAGGAAAAGAAGAACCTGTGTTGGTCGGTCTAAGTCCAGTGGCATGACTCACGAAGTCGTGGTGACACGATTGCAAACAAACCATACCACGAACGATAACGCGTCGGTCTGGAGTTTTACAACTTTCTGACCGCAAGTTCAACCCCCACCCATGGTATGGTTTCCAGTGGCATGCTAAAAGTTAGAGTGAGTAGGGAAGGCCACTTTGTCTTTAATTTCATTTCATTGCCAGAACCTATTGCAATGAGATGGACTAGCCTGGGATAGAGATCAAGAAAGTGAGAAGTTCTGTACTGAGAATTAAGAAGTAGAGAGGTCGAGATTTAGAAGTGAAAAAAGTCAGGGAAGATTGCAAGTTAGTAAAGAGGAGAAAAGCAAAAAAATTTTACTGAGAGACAAATGCAAGAATATAAAGAAAATAAAGCCTGATGGATGAGAAACAGCTCTGCCTCCCTTCCATGCACAAGAACGGAGCAGGAGAGGTCCAGCCTCCTGATCTGGCAGAGGAAAACTTCTGACAGAAGGAAGTGGAAGTAAGAGTGAGATTTCAGAGATCTTTTATTATGAGCATTATAAGGAAAGCTGCAAGAGGTAAAAAAAAATATATCAACCTATGAAATGATGATGATATGTGTCTTATAGTTTTGGTGTCTAAACTGAATAAAAAAAGTAATAATCTAAAAAGAGTGCAAAGAATTTTCAACAAAACTTTTTTCTTTAAGAATCAAAACAATCTAGGTTAGAACAGGACTCACGAAATCGTAATGACACGATTGCAAACAAACCATACCACGGGCGGGGATAGAACCCGCAATCAGAGAGTCTCAAAACTCCATGTGGCTAACGCGATGGTCTGGAGTTTTGAGACTCTGATCACGGGTTCTATACCCGCCCGTCGTATGGTACGTTAGAACAGGTTACATTAAAGACTAGCTAAATATACAGCTTTAGCCAGGCATTACCACTTAAACCTAGACGTTAGTTCCGGAAATACTTCAGGACATTTACAAAGGAATTTTGAGCACATCAGAGGTATCTGCTACGTCTGAAAATTATCAAGCACGAGTGATAAATATGATAACAGATCATAGAAACTGGATAAGGAATATCACTGCTGAGTAAGGTGCACAGCACATTGTAATTGTGCCAGTGGGTTTAGGTATGTATATCTGACAAAAAAGTTAAATCACTTCATGGAAATGTTTCACATATCCACTACAAATGCTTTTCCTATCAACACATGACACAGTAGTGAAATCTTTTAACTACGATGAGGCATCGTAATTAGTCCTTGATTACCTCAAAGTACAAACACTTATTAGCAAGATGGTGGCACTCAAACTACACGAGATGGCAGACGCTGATGACTATGGTAGCAGGTTAGACGGCTCTGGACCTGAGTAAGCAAAACATATAAACAGTAGGGCCTCGTTTATACGGCGGATTAAACTCCAGACTACCGCCATAAAGCGGTAGCCTGGAGTTTAATCCGCTTATTTACTTATAAATGCCTGATAACATAGAACTAGACCTAAAAAAATTAATAAAAAAGTAATATGCACATACAGTACACTCATTACTTACCTTAAAATATTTTTGGCCTTAACGAAGGGTGAGAGGCGAGTAGTATTTATTACAGGAAGTCAGGAGATGAAACCATCCTCTGCTAACTTCGAATTTATCTTCAGCAGCTTCCTCACCTCTCTCTCAGCATTCAGAGAATTGTAGAGACTTAGGGCCTTGGACTGGATAATTGGCTCGGCTTAAAGGCAAATTGTGACTAGCTGGATCATCAGTCCACACCAGTAAAACAATAAGGCTGTTATTTTTTTCTTATAGCTTTAGTGTTCACTAGTGTAGCACTCTTAATTTCCTGCAACAATTTCTCCTGAGAGTTCATTTAAAGTAAGAACCATACGACATAATAACTTTAAAACACTTGAAACTTTGGAAAGTTTCCATATGAAACCGAGAGACATACAGAGCTCATGGCAACACACCCAAGTTCACTTATTATTATTATTATTATTATTATTATTATTATTATTATTATTATTATTAGTAGTAGTAGTAGTAGTAGTAGTAGTAGTAATATTCAATTCAATTCAAAGTTTATTCTCTATAAGGATTACAATGCTGAGTTTACAGAAATTTGGTTATTGTGAGGTTTACATGTAGTAAAATTGTGATTAAAAGAGTGTCCCACTAGAACGCTTAGCATGGCTAGGCATTTCGGGCATACTTAGTTTTATTCTTAATTGTAAAATATTACAAATTATGAGGTAAGTTGGTATTATGGCTAAGTGACTAAATACTAGTTTGTAAGTTTAGCAATGTGAATGCTTTTGTTTTGGCACAGTACATAGTTTCAGTGTTGGAGTATCACAGGATTCATTATTTTAAGATTGAGATTAATATTTCTGTTTATGGTCAAATGAGTGAGTGAGTGTAAGTGGTGAACCACCAGGTGGTATTCGTGTAGTTAGTTGATGGGGTGTATCGGGGAGATAAGATGTTTTCAAATGGTAGTTTTGAAGGTGATGAATGTGTCTGCAGTTCTAGAGTTCTCAGGTGGGGTATTCCAGATTTTAGGGCCTTTGACATACATTGAATTTTTGTAAAGGTATGTGGACACGGGGAATGTCGTAGAGATGTTTGTGTCTGGTGTTATGCCTGTGGTTCTGTCACAACTATCAAGAAAGCGTTTTAGGTCAAGGTTGATATTAGAGTTTAAGGCCCTGTGATGTAGATTGCACAGTAGTAAAGTGTGGATGTACTGAACGGGGAGTAAGTTTAGGTTATGAAGAGTGGGGGGGGGTGTTGCCAGGGAGGGGATTTAGTGATTATTCTTACTGCAGCTTTTTGTTGGGTTATTATTGGCTTTAGGTGTGTTGCTGCAGTTGACCCCCAAGCACAAATAGCATAGGTGAGGTATGGTAAATAAGTGGTGGTATAGTGTGAGAAGGGCATTTTGCGGCACATTAGTATGTATCTTGGAGAGGATCCCAACCGTTTTGGATACTTTTTTGGTTATATGCTGGATATGGGTGCTGAAATTCAGGTTGTTGGGTCAAGGTATAAGCCTAGGAATTTTCCCCCATTATTTTGGTAATTAGATGTTGTCAATCTTAATGTTAATTTTTTGCATCTCTGCTCTGCTACCAAACATAATATACTAGGTTTTGTCAGTGTTAAGCTTTAAGTTTATTGGCTGTCATCCAAGTCGATATTTTATTCAGCTCCTCATTCGCAATGGTGTTGAGGGGGGCAAGATTAGGGTGAGAAGATGACATAAGTCGTGTCATCAGCAAAGAGAATGGGTTTCAGGTGTTGGGATACGTTTGGAAGGTCATTGATGTATATGAGGAAGAGCAGGGGCCAAGGACACTTCCCTGCGGAACTCCAGTATCAAGTGGCCATGTTGCTGAGGGCTGTGTCTTTAATGGTGACGTACTGATACCTATTAGTAATGTAAGTTTTGAAATAAGCAAGCGCATGGCTCTTATACCGTAATGATAAAGTTTGTGGATTTAGGATGTCGTGGTCACTGTGTCAAAAGCTTTTCTTAGGTAAATTTAAAAATTTCCCTAGTGGATATTCTTATTTTCCAACGCTGTGTAAAGCAGATCTAGCATTCTTATGATTGCATCATTAGGCTTTTATTTTTCCTGAACCCAAATTGGCAGGGGTTGAGTATGTTGTGAGACGTTATAAATGAATACAGTCTCCTGTGCACGAGTTTCTCAAAGATTTTGGATAGCAATGGTAATTAGATTGGCCTATAGTTGTTTAAGTCTGTTAGGGTCACCACCTTTATGTTTGGTTTTAACCCTTGCCATTTGAGTAGTTTCGGGAAAGGGGCTAGTCTCTAGTGACTTGTTAAAAAGTAATGAAATTGCATGCAAAAGGACATGGGCCGCTCGCTTGTACAGTAAAGGTGGGACATGAGACAGATTCCCAGAGTTATTTTTAAGTGACTTTATAATCTCAATGACTTCTGTGGGCTCAGTTGTTGCAAGATAAAGGAATTAGGGAAATTCCCAAACTAGGAGTCCCGGCTGGGCATTGGTATGTGGGATTTTACTGGCGAGATTAGATCCTATGTTTGAGAAGAAGTCGTTTATCTTGTTAGCTGTGTCATTGGGATGTAGTGGTGTTTCATTAGGTTTAGTTAGGACAATATTCTTGGTTTTTCTCAGTTTGTGGGTCCCTAGAATCTGAGGGGAGTGTTTTCCAGGTCTTTTTATATCTCCTCTAGTGTCTGTGAATCTATGGAGTAGTATAATTGTTTGGCTTTCTTTATTACTTTGGTGAGAGCTGATGAAAAGTGTTTAAGAGTCTCTTTGTGTATTAAGCCCTGTCTATATTGCTTTTCATATTGGTGTTTCTTTCAATGGATTTCAGAATGGTGCTGGTTAGCCATGGGCAACCAAGCCGTTTTTTTTGTGTCTGTTTTGTTTTTATAGGACAATGTTTGTTGTATAGTCTAAGTAATTTGTTAAGAAATGTCTGTCCAGTCATTAATACCATTGGCCTTGGAGAATTCTGTAGGCCAATCAACAGTTCTCTAGGTCAGCTGTGACTTCCTTATGAGGCCTCGTCATGGAGTCTAAATGAGGATTTGTTGTATTCAAGTGGTGGTTTACTAATTTTTTGTCAGGAGGAAGGTAGGGGAGTGGTCTGTAGTGCTATCTGTGATTATCCCTGATTTAAGGGGGCTTAGTATATTGGTCCATATGTGGTCTATTATGGTTGCACTTGTCTCAGTGAGCCTGGTTGGTTTAGTTATGTTGGTATGAGAAGTGTGTTGTTATATTGTTGATGAAAATCAGTTACAGGCTGATCATCTAGTAAGCCAAGTTGATGTTGAAGTCTCAGCTAAGAGAAGGTGGTGCTTATTCATTTGTCTGTTTTTTTATTAGTGACTTTAATTTCTCACTGAAATTTGGGGTTTTTTGTGTGAGGTATCCGGTAAATGGCCCCGATTGTTATAGGCGGTTTTTAAGGGTTTTTACAGTAAAATTAGCAAAAATGTATTCCCCATATTAAACACTAAAGCAAGTGGTGCTAAGACAAGATAATTGGTTAGAGTAATAGATTGCAATACCACCCCCAAATTGGTTTGGTCTGCAGTTGTGAATTGCTGTGTATCCTGGTAGAGGGTTTTGATTTTCTATTGTGTCCTGTTTAAGCCAGGTCTCAGTAAGAATATGCAGGAGAAGGGTGTCTTTAGTGATTCAAGGAGTGCTAGGGGGTCATCATAGTGTTTGCTTAAGGACCTGATGTTGTAGTTAAGTACTGATAGACTTTTAGCATTGTTTAGGATAGTGGTGGCTTGTGATGTTGTGTAATAAGGCAGTTACTTTCCAATAGGGTTTTTATTGGGTGTCAGATTATGGAGGTTTTAGATCAGGGTCAACGTGATCAATCATCTTCTAGGTTTTTAAAATTTTGGTTAATTTTTATCCTGAGTTGTGTGTTGAGTTCTAGTATGATATCTGTAGTGGTAGGAAGTTTGGACAAGTATATGCTAGAGTATTTTGGGGCATGTAGGGTATAGTCACTACTACACTAATGAAGTTGATGTTGTCTATGTGTTGTGCTGGAATGAACTAAAGTACAACTAGGTATAAACTAGTAATATAAAAAATACAAATTTAAAATAGAACAAGACTCTCACTTGTAATTGCACTAAGGTCTAATAATGACTTTTGTGGAGTCTATGTTTTGAGCTAGAATGAGCTAAAGTAATAGGTTTAATCTAATAATATAAAAATACAAAATTTAAAAATAGCACTGTCTCTCACTAGTAATTGCACTATGGTCTAATATAGTGAATTTGGTATTGACTATGTCTTGAGGTAGAATGAGCTATGGTACAACTGAATTTAATTAATAATATAAAAATACAAATTAAAAAAAAGCACCAGTCTCTCACTAGTAATTGCACTATGGTCAATATAGTGGGAAATTTTGGTTTGACTATGTATTGAGCTAGAAAGGGCTATAGTACAAAATAGGTTTAGTCTAATAATATAAAAATACAAAATTTCAAATAGCACCAGTCTCTCACTAGTAATTGCCCCTATGGTCTAGTATAGTGAATTTGGTAATGACTTATGTTTGAGCTAGAATGAGCTAGAGTAAAACTGTGATTATTTAAAAATATAAAAAAAGGAACAAGACTCTCAATTGTAATTGCACTAAGGTCTTATATAAGTTGTTTACAAGGGAAATTTGAGTATAATTAGATTTAAATTGACTGGATAAAATAACAAATTAAGGTAGCAAAATAATAATAAATAAAATGATAAAAATAAAGATGGCAATGACTTGGTTATAATATGCTAGTAAGATGGTAGACAGGATAATATAAAAGTTGTAGTTGAAAATACTAGTTTAAAAAAGTATGGAATAAAAAAAGGTCATAAAAGAAGTTTACAATAAGTTTGATCAATATAGTTTAAAGTAAAATTGGGCAATAATAGGGATTTAGAATAAAAAATTGGGCAATTGAAATATTTTTTAAAGTGAGGTAGAATTATTGAGGAAAAGTTATGGTTAGTTTATAATAAAATAAGATAGAACAGTGATGTGGTAAGTTGTAAAAAAGGAGATAGATTCTGTAGATATTAAACACAATTAAGACTATGAGGTAGAATGGTCGTTGAATACAATGACAATTAAAAGTAGTTGGGGTATTAGAATTTTAGGGGGGCACAAATTTATGACAATATAACACTAACGGTGGACTATGGGTATTATCTGCACTTTACTCTGATTCTGTTAGTCCAGCCTCACTTAGGAATGTTTTAAGGTCATGTTCTGTAGAGATGAAGTATCTCTTCCCAGTGGGCTGTTTCCTAACTGCGATTTTTCCATCCCTCACAAAGCACTAGTGGATTTTTTGGGCATAGCGCAATTTTCTTTTTCTTCTTATTATTATTATTATTATTATTGTTGTTGTTGTTAGTATCATTATAAAACACCGCGGGGAGGGTGCTCCCTAAATGTGTATATAGTGTTAATGTTTTGGGTGGACGGTCGGATTTATACTTGTTCCATACTTGTGCACTTGCCATTGATACAAGTTCTTCTCACATTATGCATACGTTTTTGAAACATTTTACCCACAACACAAGCAACTTACACTGTGTACAAGTTGTCTTCACGTTGTTGCAGTAGAAGACGTAACAGCAACACTCTCATTCTCTTGCAGCACAGAACACACCCTTTTATAGAGCGAATGATGCTACAAGTAAAGGCATAAGAAAGAAACTTTTTTTCTATAGTTATTCCCTAGTAACATTATACACAGATTCTTTAGTGGTGTTGTACTAAAGAAAACGCATTTTAGTAATTATTATCATACACTCCTTTTAATCTCTCCCGGCTACCTACCTCACAATTATGTTAATTTGTTCTAGTATGGTTGCCAGAGACATACCTTACTCACTGTGTTTTATCATTTCTAACTTTGCTCTTAAAGTGTCTTACGACTTTTGTTTTTATCACAACTACCCATAGATGTCATTGTAACATAAGAGAATATATATATATATATATATATATATATATATATATATATATATATATATATATATATTATATATATATATATATATATATATATATATATATATTTATATATTATGCAGTAACTTTAAAACACTTGAAACTGAAAAATTTCCAGACAATTGAGAGAGACGCTGAGCTCATGCAGGATGTAAAGAAATAAGGTGGCGTGTGTAAGCCATAATAGCAAATCAGGGGCCGTATAAATGAATTCTTGGGTATAATTTATCCATAATAGCAAAGCACCATAAAACGAAGTGCTGTAAAAAGGGGGCCTGCCTGTAGCACAGCTCGATGTGTCCAGTACCGTGTGAGTACTAGGTATAGTTTCCACAACAACATTTTTCAGACATCGAGAGGTACGGTACAGCTGTTTCGGAAAAAGTGCAAAGGCCGCACTAAATTGCATTTCTGTGCCTCTGAGCTACCCGAGTGTGAGAATGTATACTTGTCTGTACGTACTTTTTTATTTATGCATGAGTCTATACGAATTTGTATACGTTCACAAGTATGTACACTTTAGTATAGTTTGGTGTGTGTGTGTATGTATACAGTACATGTGCGTGAATTTATTTCATGTATTCATGTACTCTTCAGGCTACCATCACCATGGTGATGTTCGTGACTTCAGACATGACAGTCCTCATTAACTACTTCTCCTTCGCCAGTAATCTATTAGAATTGGGGACCATTGGAGCATTCTTCTGGTTCCGCATCAAGCAGCCGGACCGTCACAGACCCATCAAGGTTAGTGGAGCACATGTTCAGTTCACGATGATTTGCTCTTGTAATTATTTCTGTTGTGTTTATTATTATTATTATTATTATTATTATTATTATTATTATTATCATTGGGAAGAGCTAAACTGAAAATTATTGCAACTCACTTTGGAACTGGGATGTCTTCAGGCTTGATCCAAGTAAAGGGAGGTTGGTTGGTTCTGACCTGAGGGTTGGTGAGGATGGGAAGGAAGAGGGAGGGGAGGGCTTGAAAAATGGAAGAGGTTGGGAGGGTAGAGTAGGAGGTGGGGTAGCAGAGGTGAGTGGCCCGTCCACTTTGGAGCGTGATGTGTAGGGGTACTGCAGGAGGTTGTGCTGGAACGAGATGTGCTGGTGGCAGCAGTGTCAGTAAAGTAGGGCTGGTACTCAGGCGCCTGGCGGGAGATGGCTGGTGGTGCCCAGGAAAACAGGGTCATTTTGGAGCCACACCCCAGCTTTAGCTAAATAGCAAAGTGCTGGGGGACTTCAGCTTGGTGGTGGTTGGTTATACACATGATCCGTGGCAGACTGCATTGAATCTTGTTCTGGAGAGGTGTAGCAAGGTGAAGGGGGAGTTGGAGTCATGTGAGCGGTTGTTGAGTTTGTGGATTATCTGTGTGGAAATTTATTTGGTCCCTAAAGTTCCACAGGACAGATCTGGCATGGCCGTAATGGAACGGCTGAGCTGGGTGGCTCTTAAACCCACCCAAACAAAGCATTCTCTCGAGTTGGTGTGGATTGTTGGTAAGCTTATTTAATTTATAGATTTACCCTTCAGGGAAGGAGTAGGTAGTTTTACTGGTAGTACACTAATATTAGGTTTACTAAGGCAACTGTAGATAATAATAATAATGTAGACCTGAGACCTTAACATAGGTAGTAATAGGCCGATAATGTAGGCAAACACTAGGACAAGTTAGCTAGGGAGAACTGGCAGCCCTAGTTTGAACGAAGAAATGAGGGTCTGGAAGAGAGACCAGCTCGTTCGTCTTAAGACAGACACCAACTGGACAAGACGTGCCGTGATCAGCAGAGGCGCCCCCCAGTGGTCTTCACATTTGAGACCTAGGGAAATTGGTAGAGGCACCTCGATGTACCGTGGGATGACCCCCGTCAGGCCCATACAGTAAGACAAGACCTCCACTCTATCTCGTAGATTTCTGGCCAGTGTCTGGGGAGAATTGTGAGTGAGTTTGAACTGTGTGCCCGGTGTGCAGCAGGCAGTGCATGCCCAGTAAGTACCAGTGTCTCTTGGCAGTCTGGAAGTAGTGTCCATGTCTGCATTATTTTATACTGGGGGATACACACCCTCTTGGATATAGGAATTTCTGGGTGCAGGCAAGGTCACTAATAATGATTGAATATTGCAGGATTTAAGGCTCCCGGTTGCCGTGGTTTTGGGGGGAAGTCCAAAGGGGCTAAGGCTAAGCTTAGGGAAGTTGAAGATCAGGATATATGCTGCAACACCAAGCAAGTTAGTCCTTTATACGTGTATGCAGGCGAGTTTCTTGCAAAAAATTCAATCATTTGTGAAAAAATTCTGTCCTATAAGCCACTTGTGAGGCTGAGGTACCCACCTCAGAGCTCGGTTTTGTCAACAGAGTTTGCCAGGGTAGGCGACTCATTGGAGGCAGTCAACACAAATTTTTCCCACAAAAAGTGGGTCCTTCGCAACCGTGATGTGGAATAGCTTAGGTTAAGCTATTCATAGCTAGGCTACGTTAGGAAAACCGGTTTAACGAGTTAGGTTAAGTTAGCAAACCTGGGCCCCAGAGTTACACAGAGGCTAGGCCAAGCTGACTTTTCACAGAAGTTGTTATTGCAGTAATTTACGGGCGGGCCCAGGTAGGCTAGAGAAGCTTGTGAATTTAATTATTTACAGTGATTACAAGTAACCCAAAGAGTAGGAGACTTGTGTGTAATTACTTACGTGGATTTGCAAGGTAGCCACAGTTAGGCTAGGCTTGTAAAATTTTTTACAACGGGTTATAGTAGCTAGGACAGATTTAACTTAGTTATTATTTACAGGGGTTTTTAAAGCCAGGTTAAATTAAGCTATAGCACACTAGTTAGGTTAGGATTTACCTTACCCAAACCCATCCACGCTAGACTGAGTAAGCTGGGTTTCAAGCTGTTTACACACATTATTCATTTACTGTTTCACAAGTTGAATTGTTGAATTTATTTGTGTTAACCAAGTGATTTTAATTTGTTTTACTGCACTTTTTATTGTGTGATTTTCATTGTCTTTGATTCATGTTAATGTGGGATTTTTTAAATTGTACCTGAGACTAGGTTAAGTCATGTAATTATTTGCTGGCATTGTACAGGAAATTGCTAGGTTAAGCTTTCACACCAATACACATTTTGATTGGGATTTGAGAGCTAACAGTGTACATTTTTTATTCATAGTAGAATCAATATAACAAAGGGAATTGTTAAGCTTGTTGAGAAGCCTTGAGACTCGTTCATTCTTACCTAACACCGTGACGTGCTGTGGGGTGGACTGGGTAAAGTACATTTAGTGTCACACTCCTCATTAAACTTCGACAATGGCAGATGGAAGTTCAGGAGAGTCTGGTTCAGTGTTAGCAAAATTAAAACAATCAGTGGCGGCATACAAAGGGCATCTGAACAGAACGCGTAACAGGTGCAAGGCTACTTGCCAACGCGGGAACGTAAAACTGCGATGATTTGCAAGAACTGCTTGAAGAGTTTGGGGGAAAAAAAATGGGAAGCCTATGAACAAGCTTTTCCCAGCATATGAGCTACAGGCTATTGAGGATAATGAATCCCAGGGTAGTCTTCAGCAGGCTCTGGACGAATTCACTAAGGATGATGTAGATTGTCATCAGGAGATGAATACGTACAAAGATAAGTTAAGTACATTAAAGGCTAGTTAGTATTCCAAGGGTGGTGTCGAACACCGTAGGTACCCCAAACAGCCACACACCTGTCAATATGTTGCCCAGGTTGCCCCAGTTGAATTCACCGACATTTGACAGAACCCTGAGTACATTGCTTTCTGGGATCAGTTTAAAGCCCAGATAGATGACGGGAAAACGATTTGTCAGATGCCGTCAAATTGCAGTTTTGCGGTAGCAGCTAAAGGGTAAAGCCTTGACCTGGTCGGCACTACCAGATTACTGACACTATTACCAACATCCCAAAAGACCAATTAGAAGGCATGTTTGGCAACACTGAAGAGATAAAGGTAGCTATACTTTACGGTTGTTGGATCTAGTGGCTTGCCGACATGACCGTCAAAACCTAGAGAAGTTCCCTATTGAAATTATGAGCTTGACAAATAGTTTAGAGATTTGCATGATGAGGATGATTCAGAATGGGTCCTTGCCAGGTGATTCAGAGGAAACTGGCTAGCATACAGTGCATGGTTACACTTAAAATATCGGATGAATAGGTTCACGATAAAACAAATTGTTGAGGGGTTGGGGGATCTCGTTCTCATTTGGTATAGGTGTGAGAGAAGAGTTTACCACCATGCCACATAAAAAACCAGAAAGTTGCTCAAAGATCTCGAGAGATCAGTCTAAAGCTCATACGACTAAGGTTGGAGTGTACTATGGTAAAGAAGTGTCTAAGGTAAGAACTCTAAGCAGAACCTCAGAGGCACTCATGCCAGAATATGCATGTTCTGCGAAGGCGAACATGCTTAGCACGAGTTGCCGGAAATATATAACACTGGCAGTAGGCAACAGAGACTAAGGGAGTTGAGACTCTGCTTCAAGTGTTGTGGGAACACTTTGCGAGAGACTGTGGCACCCAGTCAGTGAGTGTCGGTCTGTTGCAAAGGTAAGCACCATACTGCACTATGTCCCAATAATTTAAAGGGAACCCCAGGTAGTAGGGATATCTCTCAGGTTAGAGATAGAAAGTGAGTCTGAGCCTGAAATGGTAGCCAGCGTGATTAGTGGGAGTGAAGTCTTTTAATCTGAGTGAGAAACACGGAGGTGCTGCCCTACCTACAGTCATGGCAAAGGTTGTGATGGGCTAGGTCCGAAAAAACCCCAAATTTTTCTTTGACCCAGGAGCACAAGTATCCTTGATAACAAAGAAGTTGGTGGCTAAATTAAAGTTGAAGGCCACAAGGCAAGTTAGTATGATGTTGGGAGCGGCTATAAGTCAGGCCCCACGCAAATCTTATGATGTGGTTGATGTCACAGTCAAATTAGGTGGACATCACAGAGGGCATTACAGCCTTTGGGGGTAGGACATTACCACGGCAATTACAGCAAGGGTCTTGCTGCAGCAGCTAAGCGATTGAAAGACCTTAACGTGAAGCTGGCAGACCAGGGAATTACCACTGACACAGTCAGAAATATAGGTATCCTGGAAGGAGCCAATCATATAGATGACTTCCTGTCTACATGACGGACGTTTAAGGAAGGAATTGGTTTATACAGATCCCCAGTAGGATACATCAGGCGGCAGGATTCCACCTGAATTCCTGCCACGCCAGATAGAGGAGAAGCTGTCCCCATGATAGCTGGGGGAGTAGTGATAATGAATACCAGTATACATATGAACCGCCAGGGGAAACTGAACCAGGCAGGTAGTGACGAACACTCCGCCACCTTGGGAAAAACAAATTTTACAGGGTACATAAAGAGGGAGATAGATTGCCATTAAATCTAGGGAACCTTGTAACAGTGGGAGGAAAGGCTACCAAGGCATGTGGGCCCTGGGTGGGAAAGTTACAGAGCCCCTCAGTCAAGGCTAGACATTGGGAAAAACGTTAAAGTTAAAGGAAAGGGTGCTAAGACCACCGGAACCAAAAAGTTTACACCCCCAGAGGTCCACACAGGAGAAAATGGACGGTTGAAGTTAGACCCGGGGTCTGCCGACGAGAGTGGCAGACGGCACTCGTGTCCAGGGTCCGCTGTGGGGGCTCGCGGGAAGGTGAACTTGATTTAGACTTAGTGGGCCCACCTTCGCCGCGGGTTTGGATGTGGAAATTTATTTGGTCCCTAAAGTTCCACAGGACAGATCCGGCATGTCCCTAAGGAACGGCTGAGTGGGTGGGCCCTTAACCCACCCCAAAAAAAGCATTCTCTCGAGTTGGCGTGGATTGTTGGTAAGCTTATTTAATTTTAGATTTACCCTTCAGGGAAGGAATAGGTTGTTTTATGGTAGTACCCCTAATATTAGGTTTACTAAGGCAACTGTAGTAATAATAATGTAGACCTGGCCTTAACATAGGTAGTAATAGGCCCATATGTAGGCAAAAAAACTAGGATAATTTAGTTAGGGGAATGGCGCCTAGTTTGAAAGAAGGACGAGGGGTCTGGAAGAGAGACCGTGTTTGTCTTAAGAGACACCCAAATGGAACAAGGTGCCGTGATCAGCAGATGGCCCTCCCCACGTGGGCTTCCATTTGGGGGACCCTAGGGAAATCTGGTAGAGGCACCTCGGTGTACCGTAGATGACCTCCGTCAGGCCCATACGTAAGAAAAAGACCTCACTTATCTCGAGATTTCTGGCCAGTGTCTGGAGTTTACCTGGAGTTTACCTGGAGAGAGTCCGGGGGTCAACGACCGCGGCCCGGTCTGAGACAGGCCTCCTGGTGGATCAGAGCCTGATCAACCAAGGCTGTTGCTCTGGCTGCACGCAAACCAACATACGAGCCCCCCGCCGGTTTATCCGGAATGACTTTAGGTGCTTGTCCCGTGCCAGCTTGAAAGACTGCCCTGGGTTTTGTTGGTATTTCCCCCTTATGGGGTGCTGGGAGGCAGTTGAACGTCTCGCGGCCCTGACACTTATTGGGATGGCTCTTAACGGCTGTGACCCCTGCCTTTTCATTGGGGGGATGGTGATCGTCTGCCAAGTCTTTTGCTTTCGTAATGAGTGATTTTCGTGTGCAAGTTCGGTACTAGTCCCTCTAGGATTTTCCAGGTGTATATAATCATGTATCTCTCCCTCCTGCGTTCCAGGGAATACAGGTTTAGGAACCTCAATCGCTCCCAATAATTGAGGTGTTTTATCTCCGTTATGCGCGCCGTGAAAGTTCTCTGTACATTTTCTAGGTCGGCAATTTCACCTGCCTTGAAAGGTGCTTGAAAGGTGTCTGGGGAGAATTGTGAGTGAGTTTGATCTGTGGGCCCGGTGTGCAGCAGGCAGTGCATGCCCAGTAAGTACCAGTGTCTCTTGGCAGTCTGGAAGCTAGTGTACATGTCTGCATAGTTATACTAGGGGATACACACCCTCTTGGATATAGGAATTTCTGAGGTGCAGGCAGGTCACTAATAACGATTGAATATTGCAGGAATTAAGGCTCCTGGTTGCACGTGGTTTCTGAGGGGAAGTCCAAAGGGGCTAACGCTAAGCTTAGGGAAGTTGAAGATCAGGATATATGCTGCAACACCAAGTAAGTTAGTCCTTTATACATGTATGCAGGCGAGTTTCTTGCAACATCAATCATTTGTGAAAATCTGTCCTATAAGCCACTTGTGAGGCTGAGGTACCCACCTCAGAGCTCGGTGTCAACAGAGTTTGCCAGGGTAGGCGACTCACTTGGAGGCAGTCCACACAAATTTTCACAATCTGGTTGAGGGTAGTTGGTTTTTCGTGGCAGGTGAATTTTGCAGTGTTGCTGAATTGTTTCATGGTGTAGAACGTGACTCCTCTGAATTTGAGGGTTGGTTGAGAAGGTGGAGGAGGTGAGGAAGGTGGAGAAGGCGATTGTGGAGGTGAGGAAGGAGGAGTGGATGGTTGGTCGTGGTGGATGTGGGAGAGGCTGGAGGTGGGCTCTCATTGGTGAGGTTCTGCTGTGGTTCAGTGGTCTCTGATTGGTCGAACTCTTGAGAGGTCGGTGGTGGTGGAGGAGCAGATGCGATGTTGATTATATTGTTAGTGGACGTCACAATGTCGCTTGTCGGTGGTGATGCAGGGAATATAAAGTTGGGCATGTTGTTGAGTTGGAAGAGTTCGTTGATCGTGGTGTTGAAGGAGCCTGGTGCCGCAGTATTGTGGACGTGGGCATACATGATGCAGTATAGGATTTTGGTGGAGTCACCCACGGACAGTGGTGATGTAGTCGTGGAGGCCTGGAGGACTCGGGTGGAGTCAAGTAGATTCCTGGTAACGGTAGCGTATGAGGTTGCTTGGGTAGTTGGAGTCTGCTGTTGTTCAAGCTGTTTTTTCAGTAGTTCCCGTCTGGTGGGGCATCTGGCCGCCAAGGTGTGGTGGTCGTTTATGCAGTTGAGGCATTTGGGTGGTGTGGTGGAGGTGCATGACTTGAAATCGTGGCCTTCTGTGCCGCAGGTAGGGCAGATCTTCTTGTCTATGGAGGGGCAGTTCCTCGTGGTATGCTGGTAAGAATAGCAGTTGTAACATTGAGAGATGTATTTAAATTTCTCTGCTTCAGTGAGTGTTGGATGGATGTGGAAGTAGAAAATGGCCAGGCTCTCCTTGAGAGCTTGGGTTGCCATGCTGACGTCACTGAAGGTGACCTTCAGCATGGAGGAAGCATTGAGAATTCTAGTGATGTGTTCTATCTTGGCCCAGGTGTTTTTTTCTTCGATTGATGATTTGGTTTCCGAGATGTCTTGGATTGTGATGAGTTTGTCGAGCTTTTTGAGAAACAGTTCTCTTGGCTTTCAGGGCTGGGGATGTCAGGACTTGGAATCCACGTTGGTCGAGAGTGGAGATAGCTTCTGTGATGGTTAGTTTTTCCGCCTCGAAGTCATCTGTACAGATGACCACAAAAGCGTCCTTGAGAGAGAGGATTGCGTTGCACTTGACTCGCAGAGTACCACTGATGGTAGCTGCAAGGGCTAGTTTGGACGAGTCGTTGACTGTCCCACTCACAGGTTTGATCTTTACCCTGTTAGAGTAATGCATCGTGAGTAAGCAGTGTTTCCCTCCCCAACGGGGATCGTCTGTGTCTGTGTCAGTAAAGGCAGGGTAATTCCAATTCCTTGGATCAATGTTGTCTAGACTTTTACCTCCTCGTTGACCGGGTTTCTGAATAAGGTTAACGATGATGGCTACATTGAGCTGATCAGGTGTGTCGTCTGACATGAGTCTTCACCAGGTGATAACCCAGTAATTAACGCTGATATACCGGTGTTGAGTATCTTTAATAAAGTAGCCACTTAATTGTTGAGTCTAATAAGTAGCCACTTAAATGATGAGTCTAATAAAGTAGCCACTAAATTGTTGGGCATCAGTAATAAAATATTTGTACCTTACAAAAGACTGTTTGTATCTCACAAAAGATTGTTAAGAAAAGTGGCAGCACATTGTATAGGAGGTAAACTTTTAACAGGTAAACTTCTTCAGTCCAATGCAAAGAAAAGTGGAGAGTGAGGATGAGTTTGAGGTAATCAGTCCCTCAACCTAGAGTCGATGTGTTCAATCCATCAATCATGATAAAAGTGCATCATATTCATGGAGACGGAGCATATATACTGCTGATAGATGAGGTGCAGCAGTGTCAGGCGGAGTCATCAGTGGAAATATCCACTAGTGGAAGAATATGTGAATGTCTACCTTGGAGAAACATTGTTTCTATTATCAGTTACGGCTACGGACCTCTGTACAATGATTCATTTACTTAACTTCTGGTAATTTTTCCCAGCAAATCTAGTCACATCCATGGCAATGGAATTTCATAAACCCAAACTTCTTCATCTGTGTTATGCATATATTTTTTCTTAGTGAGTTCACAGGTGGTAGAGGAAGTTAAGCCAGCTACTGTGTTCTCACCTTGTTTCAAAATTATTATGATATTGTAGGCGTCGTTATATGTAGGGAAAAATTATGTATCAGCTTACATTCTTTTCTGTTTAAGGATGAAGGATGTTGGATAATACAGTTTACTAAAAATAATTATTTGGTTTCTCACCCATCAAGGAAACACAGGTTTCACATCCTGTACTGACATAAAAAACACCTGATCATTACATCTTTGCTTCTGTACTGTACGTAAATAATCAAGTACGTTAGTAAGTATTAAAGAAAGATATTAAGGAAGTTTTTTTTTTAAACTTTCTGTATACTGTATAAAATACATTTTTTTTACAATAATATTAAAGTAAACAGATGTTTTAGACATACAAAAGTACATTATGTAGATTTAACTTTGATTAATCAGATAAAGTCAAACACTGTGACTTTTTTCTGATCAGAAGAAACATTCTGAAATAACTTTAAAAAACTAATTTGATTAATAAAAATTACACATTAAAACTTACACAACCTAAAATTAAGATAAACCTGAAACATCTCACTTTCTTTTCATCACAACATGACTGATAATTTAACGATTCTCATTTTAGTCATTTTCATCCCTTCAAGGTGTGGATCATCTTCCCCATAATATACTTCATAGTTTCTGTGTTCCTGACGGTGCTTCCAGTGATCCGTCAACCTCTGGAGGTGATGATGGCAGTGATCATCATCATCACAGGTCTTCCAGTCTATTACTTCACCATCCACAGACACAACAAACCACACAAGTTGCTTCACGTTATGGGTAAGTCAGCCAGACACTAATATAAATTTTTTTTTAACTCGGATTATTTTTTCTTTTTCACATTCTAAGGCTATGTACAATGAATAATTATTATAATTATTTCAGAGTATAATACTCATCAAAACATGGAAATTATTCCCACTGACTTTATTGACTTATCCTGCGTTAAATATACATAATATACTTCATGGCTGAATTCCACTAAAGAAAAAATGGCACAATACCGTGAGTGGAACAATACACAAATAACCCACACATAAGCGAGAGGAGCATACGATGACGTTTCAGTCTAACTTGGACCATTTACAAAGTCACACTAAAAGAAAGGTGATGAGGCAGTATATATAGGCGAGCTGGCAGGGACGGGACAAGAGAAGTGGGAGTAGTAGAGTAAGGCAGGAAATGTAAATAGTAGTAGTAGTAGTAGTAGAGTAAGGGAGAAAAATGTAAGTAGTTTGGGAGTAGTAGTAGTGTTGTAGTAGTATTTAGTAGTAGTAGTAGTAGTATAGTAGTAGAAATAGCAGTAGTTTGGGTAAGGCAGGGGAAATTTTAAAATAGTATAAAGACTAAGGCAGGAAGTGTAAATAGAAGTAGGTAAGTAGAGGAGAAATAAGGCAGGAAAATAAAAGTAGAGTTTTTAGTAGTAGTTTGTAAAAATAAGTAAAGGGAGGAAGTGTAAGTTGGTAGAGTAAGGAAAGAAAATGAAAATAGTATAGTAGTATAGTAGCAGTTTGCAGTAGGGAGTGAGAAAGGGAGGAAGTGTAATAGTATAGTGAAATAGTAGCAGAGTTTAAAGGGAGGAAATTTTTTAAAATAGTTTTTAGAAGCAGTAGTAAAATAGTAAATAAGTAAGGGGGAAATGAAATTAGTGCAGTAGCCCGTGGGAGTAGGGAAGGCAGGGGAAGGGTTTTAGAGTAGTAGCATAGCAGTAGTAGTAGAGTAAGGCAGGAAAAGGGAAGTAGTAGTAGAGTAAGGCACGAAGGGGTAAGTAGTAGTAGTAGTAGTAGTACAGTAGCAGTAGTAGTAAGGGAAGGCCCGGGAAATGTAAGTTTTAGCAGTAGCGTTTGTAGTAAGAACGGAGGGAAAAGTAAGTAGAAAATAGGGGTAATAGTAGTATTTTAAATAGCAGTAGGGGTAGTAGTAGTAGAGTAAGCCCGGGAAATGGTTTGTAGTAGTATTTGTAGTAGTAGTATAGGGTTTTAGTAAATTGTAGTAGGGGTAAGAAAGGGGAAATTTAAGTAGTATTTTTGGGAGTGTAGTAGTAGTAGTTTAAATAATGCAAGGGAAATGTAAAATAGTTAGTAAATAAATGTAGTAGTAGTTGTAGTAGGTAAGGCAGGGGAAATGTAAGTAGAAAATAGTAGGTTTGTATTTGTAGAGAAGGCAGGAAGTGTAAGTAGATAGTATAAATAGTATTGTAGTAGAAAAGTATTGGAAAAGGCAGGGGAAATTTTTAAGTAGTAGTTTTTGTAGCAGAGTAAGGCCGGGAAATGTAAGTGTAGTAGTAAATAGAAGTATTAGTAGTAGAGTAAGGCAGGAAGTGTTTGTAGTTTTTGTGAAAAGTAAGGCAGGGAATGTAATTTTTAGTAGTATTTGTAGTAGTAGTAGGTAGTAGAGTAAGGCAGGAAGTGTAAAAATAGTAGTAGTTGTAGTTTAGTATAGTAGAGTTTGTAGTTAGTTGTAGGAGTAAGGCAGGAAGTGTAAGTAGTAGTAAATAGTACAGAGTAAGGAGGGGAATTTTAAGTAGTATAGTATAAAGTATTGTTTGTAAAAGAAAAGGCAGGAAAATGTAAATAATAGTAAGTAAGGCAGGAAATTTAAGTAGTAGTATTTTAGTAGTAGTTTGTAGTAGTAGATAAGGGAGGAAGGTAAGTAGTGTAGTGTTTGTAGGGAGTAAATTTTAAATAGAGTTTAAGGCAGGAAGTGTAAGTAGTTTGTAATTTGTAGCAGGTAAGGGAGGAAATGGAAATTTGTTGTAGTATAGAAGTTTTGTAGTTTGAGTAACGGGGGGGAAGTGTAAGGAGTAGTAGTAGAGTAAGGCAGGGAAATGTAAGTAGTTGTAGTAGTAGTAGAAATAGTATTTGTAGTAGTAGAGTAAGGGAGGGGAAATGAAATAGTTGGTTTGTAGTAGTAAATTGTAGTATAGTTTGAGTAAGGCAGGGAAATGTAAGAAGTATAGTAGTTGTAGTAGAGTAAAAGTTGAATAAGGGAGAAGTGTAAAATATTTGAAATTTTAATAGTAGTAAATAACAGTAAATAGTAGAAATATAGTAGTTGAGTGTAGTAGTAGTAGTGAGTAAGGCAGGAAGTGTAAAATAGTAGTTGTAGTATAGTAGTTGTAGTAGTAGTAGTATAATAGTTGTAGTGAGTAAGGCCCGGGTGTTTAAAAAGTAGTTAGGGAGTTGTAGTGTAGTAAGGGGTAAAGGCCCGGGGAAATTTAAGTAGTAGTAGTAGTAGTGTAAAAGTAAGGAAAGGGAAATGGGAAGTAGTAAATAAAAGTAGTTGTAGTTGTATTTGTAGAGTAAGGCAGGAAGTGTAAATAGTTGGGATAGTAGTTATAGTAGTAGTAAGTAAAGGGAAGAAATGGGAAAAAGTATGTAAATAGAAATATTATTTTGTAGAGTTTTGGCAGGGGGGGTAAGTATAGTAGTAGTAAGGGAAGGCGGGGAATGGAAGTAGTAGTTTTTTGTAGTAAGCAAGGCAGGGAAATGTAAGTAGTAGTAGAGTTAAAAGGGAGGAAGTGTAAAATGTATTGTTGGGGTAAGGCAGGGAAATGTAAGTAGAAAATAGTTTTACTATAGTAGTTTAAAAGAAGAGTAAGGCCCGGAAGTATAAAATAGTGTTGTAGTAGTATTAGGTAAGGCAGGAAGTTAAGTATAGTAGAGTAAAAGGGGGAATGTAAGTAGTAAATAGAGTAATAGTAATAGTAGTAGTAGTAGTAGCTTTGCAGTAGTAGTTTGAGTAAAAGGGAGGAAATTAAGTAGTGTAGTAGTAGTAGTAAAAAGTAGTAGTTTGAAAATAAAAAAAACCCGGGAAATGTAAGTAGTAGTATTAAAATAGTAAAGTGATGCAGGGAAGTGTAAAGTAGTAGTAGTAGTTAGGGATATAGTAGGGAGGGAGTATTGTAGTAGAGTTTGGGAGGGAAATGAAAATAAATACTAGTAGTAGCAGATTTGGCAGGGGTTAAGTTGTTGTAGTTGTATTAGTAATAGTATAGAGTAAGGCGGAAGTTTTAATAGATAGTAAGTAAGGGGAAAGGGAATGTAAGAGTTTGTAGTATAGTAATAAGTTAGTAGTAGTTGTAGTAAAAGTAAAGGCCCGAATTTTAAGAAGTAGTATTAGAGTAGTGTAGTAGTTAAATAAGGCAGGAAATGAAAAAAGTAGTAGTAGTAGTAGTAGTATTTGAAAAAGGCAGGGAAATTTTAAGTAGTTTAGTTGGGAATAAATAGTTGAGCAGTAGTAAATTGTAGCAGTATAGTAGTAGGGGTAAGGCAGGAAGTGTAAGTGTAGTCGTAGTAGTAGTATAGGAGGGGTAAGGCAGGAAGTGGGAAAAAAGTAGTAGTAGTATTTGAAAATTTGTATAGAGTAAGGCGGAAGGGAAGTAGTAGGTAGTAAATAGTAGGGGTAAGACCGGAAGTTTAAAAAAGTATAAATATTAAATAGTAGTTTGTAGAATAAGGCCCGGAAGTGTAAGTAGTTTGTTTATTTTTAGTAGTAGTTTGGGTAGTAGTAGTGCAGTATATAGTAGAGTAAAGGGAGGGAATGTAAGTAGTATAGTAGTAGTTGTAGTAAAAGTAAGGCAGGAAGTGTTAAATATAGTAGTAATTTGTTTTGTAAGTAGCAGTGTAGTAGAGTAAGGGGGAAGTTAAGAAGTGTAGTTGTAGTGTGTAGTAGAGTAAGGCAGGAAGTGAAATAGTAGTATTGTTAGAGTAAGGCAGGAAGTGTAAGTAGTTTAGTAGTAAATAGTTGTAGTTGTAGAGTAAAGGAGGAAGTGTAATTGGGAGTAGTGTAGTAGAGGTAAGGCAGGAAGTTAAGTAGTAGTGTTTGTAGGAGTAAAGGGAGGGAAATGTTTTAAATAGGTAGTATTAGTAATAATAGTTAATTTGTAGTAGAGTAAGGCAGGAAGTGTAAGTAAATGTTTAGAGTAAGGCAGGAGTGGGAAATAGTAGTAGAGTAGTTTGAGTTTAAAGGAGGGGAAAGTAAATAGAAATTGTAAAAAGTAGCAGGAAATGTAAGAGTAAGGCGGAAGTGTAAGTAGTAGTATAGTGTTTGTAGTTGTAGGGGGAAAAGGGAGAAAGGTAAAGTAGTAGTATTAGTAGTAGTAAAAGTTGTAGTAGTAGTAGTAGTAAATAGTAGTAGTAGGTAAAGGGAGGGAAAAGGAAGTAGTTTTGTAGTTGTAGGGAGTAAATAGTAGTAGAATAAGGCAGGGAAAATGTAAGTAGTAGTAGTTTGTATTAGTAGTATTTGCAGTGGGAGTAGTAGTGTAGTAAGTAAAGTAGTAGTTGTAGTAGTAGGGAAATAGTAGAGTAAGGCAGGAAGGTAAGTAGTAGTAAAGTAGTTGTAGGTAAAGGGAGGGGAAATGTAAAAATAGTGTGTAGTTTAGTAGGGAGTAGTAGTAATAGTTTTTGTAAGGCCCGGGAAATGTAAGTAGTAGTAGTAGTTTGTAGTAGTAAAGGGGTTTAGTAGTAAAAAAAGTAAGGCAGGAAGTGTAAGAAGTTTGTTGTAGTATAGTAGTTTGTAGAAAAAAGTAAGGCAGGAAGGTAAGGTATAGTAGTTTAAAATTTAAAGGGGAGTTTTTGTATTAAATATAGTAGGGGTATTAAAAAGGCAGGAAATGAATAAATAGTAGTAGTAGTAGAGTAAGGCAGGAAAATGTAAGTAGTAGTAGTAGTACCGTTGGCAAAGGGAAATGTAAGAATAGTAGAAGTATTTGAGCAAGGCAGGAAGTGTAAGTAGAGTAGGTAAGGGGAGGAAGTGTAAGTATTTTAATAGTAGGGGGT